TAGCTCAAGCTGTGTCCTCAACCAGACATTGTTGTCTTTAACATTGGCTGCTCTAAGAGATGTCCTAAAGAACATGTCCTAGTTATCTCTTACTGAGTGATATATGGGCTTTTTTTTGGAAGTTCACAAGCACTTCTATGTCTGTTCTCTACGTGGGTCTCTGTCCTCATGCTCTCTTAGAGTCAGACCTCTGTAGTAAGGTGGATAGTTGCTGCCAAACCTTTTTCCATTCACACAGCCATCTCCAGTCTTAAATTCAAGAGGATCCAGTAACAGCTATTTCAAAAAGACAAGTCGCAGAGGTGGCCCCTCCTAGAAGGATCCAAATATGCCATTGCCTCACTAGGGGAGAGTAGGAAGAAGTTAGAGGGGCTGAAGGGAAACTGGAGAAGGCATTTAGGTGGAAGAAGGGGGAGACTAATGATTTGAGCCATTTGGGGAACATTGTGCATTTGCTATTGGAGCAAGTTCTCCCTACCTCCTTTCTAGGGTGCAGAAGCTGCTAATGTAACTGGGCCCGGAGGGGTGCCAGTGAAGGGCAGCCGCTATGCCCCCAATCGACGTAGGGTCCGCCGATTCATCCCCCGGCCTCGCCCAGCTGCCCCACCACCTATGGTGGCAGAGGCCCCATCAGGTGGGACAGAACCAGGCAGTGAAGGGGAACGAGCTGAAGACCCTGGGCAGAGGCCCAGACGAAGGCGCCCACCACCCTTCTTCTACCGCCGTCGCTTTGTGCGAGGCCCAAGGCCCCCCAACCAGCAGCAACCTATAGAGGTGAGGAGAACTGGGAATGTGGAACCAAATACCCAAGTGGGAGTTCCTGAGGAGAGAGAGCACAAAGTCCCTAGGGGAAGTGGAACCAAGGGTTGAGAAGAGCTCTGGACACCTGAGTCCTGGGCAGCTGCTGTTACCGCAGCTCACCAAGGCCTCTCTATATTCCCAGGGCACTGATGGGGTAGAATCTAAAGAGACAGCCCCATTGGAGGGGGACCAACAGCAGGGAGATGAGCGGGTCCCCCCACCCAGATTCCGGCCTAGGTACCGAAGGTAAGACTCCTTTTCCAGACCCTATCTTCCCCTTCACCATCTAGTATTGGATAGGGGTGGGGGAGCGTAGGAGTACAGGAGGAGTCGGGAGGATGTGAAGGGGAAGAGCTAAGTTCTCAAGCCTGAAGCTACTGGTGAAGAGGGCTGGGTAGCTAAAAGATTACTACATAGGTGTCCTGGGGAAGCAGGCCCCCTAGGGATTTGGCTCCTGGGGACGGAGAAGCTGGCGGGTCCACCTCTGCTTGGGGAGTCCTGGGAGGATGGGAGGTGGTCTGCACTGGCCCTCTGCTCTCTTCAGGGTCCCCACTTCTCTTCCCAGGCCTTTCCGCCCCAGGCCACCCCAGCAGCCTACCACAGAAGGTGGGGATGGCGAGACCAAGCCCAGCCAAGGTCCCACTGATGGTTCCCGGCCTGAGCCCCAGCGCCCAAGAAACCGCCCCTACTTCCAGCGCCGAAGGCAGCAGCCCCCTGGACCCAGGCAGCCCACAGCCCAGGAGGTGAAGACCTTGGACTGTCTACTGTGGAGCCACCTCCCCCTCTCCTTCCTTTCCCCTCTCTTTTCTACCCTTCCCTTCTCTATCCTGTTCCCTCCTCTCTTGCCCCCTGCTCCTTCCCTACCCACTTTCAAGCAGCCTGACACCAAAGAACTAGTACTGTTGGGCCACCTCTGGCAGTCACCCCTACCCACCAGGAAACCCCAGCAGATGCAGTCAAGCCTGTGTCACCCTCTGTGTCAGCTCTACTTGGATCCATAGTATCAGTTATGGATGTGAATTGGGGAAGAATGGGAAGGAGCTATAGGAATGAAAAGAGAAAATGTGAGAGAAGGTTGAAGTTAGGAGCCTAAAAGAACAAGAGGGTCTCAATCGACCACTCCTGTTCTCTTTAGACCTCAGCCCCCATCAACAGTGGGGACCCCCCCACCACTATACTGGAGTGATTCCAACTCAAAGGACACCCAGAGCTACCATCTGGTGAGTGGCTCCTCCTGGGGAGGGCTGAGGGCAGGGAGCCAAGAGGGCAGGGGACTGGGTCCTAAGTCGCTAGTCATGACTTATCCATTTCTTTTTCTCTCTCAGGTATCTGCCAGTTTTTCCAACTGACCTGTACCCTACCCAGTACCCCCCCTTCCCATAATTCGTGACATCAAAACACCGGCTTTTCCCCTTTATCCTTGAGACTCAGGAGGGCCAAAGCAACAGCTTTTACTTTTTTTTCTCTGTCCCCTACCAAGGGTTGAAGGAAGGGATCCATCCTTTTTGTTCAGAGGCACCAACTCCCTCCCCTAAATCAGGCTGAGAAGGAACCAGCCAGCTCTTACCTCCTCCTGGTTGTTTTTCTTTCCCACCCCAGTTTATTTTTTGTTTTCCCTCTACACCTGATCTCTGAAGCCATTTTATGAACTGTCATGTGCCACCTGAGCCTCCAGTAAAAACAAAAACAGGCTTTCCTGTTGTCTCGGTCTCTGCCTCTTTTCTGTTCAGAGAATTGCTGGTAACATGCTGGTGAAGGTGGGGAGGAGGAGGAGGATGTGAGGCAGTGGGCAGTACCTTGAATCCTCGTTTCCATATTTCTAGCTGTGCAGCTCTCAACAAGTGCTTTCATCCCTGTGAGAGTCACTTTTTCCATCTGTAGTAGAAGGATAATTCCCTTGCAGAATGTTTTGTAAAGTGCCAAGAGCACAGTTTGACACTTGCAGCTCCAACTTATTAGCATTTACTATTAAAAGTAATGACTAGAAATATAAATGGGGGCATGAGTGATATCACCTAGAGCAAGGGTCCCCAACTTGAAGGCCTCAGGCTGGTGCTGGTCCATGGCCTGTTAGGAACCTGGCAGCACAGCAGGAGGTGAAGTGAGCAAGTGAGCTGCATAGCAGGAGGTGAGTGGTGGGCTAGAAGCAAAGTTTCATCTGTATTTGCAACCGTTCCCCAGCGCTAGCATCACCGCCTCAGCTTCACCTCAGATCATCAGGCATTAGATTCTCATAGGAGCACTGGTCTCGGATGCCAAAAAGGTGGGGGACCACTGATCTAGAGGATTCTTTAGACTTAAGCTGAGGCAGGATAGAGAAGGAGGCAGAGGGGAGAGAAGTTATGGTCCCTGTCTGAGTCCATCCTTGAGTGCCTCCACAACAAGACATTTGTTTCATACAGTGACTTTATATATGTATCTATATATTTACATTTAGTACAACAGACCTTTAGTTTCTTTTCCCTACCCCTTTTTTTCAAACATATACAAAAATCTCTGAAGGTTCCTCCCAGCCCAGT